ACTATTAAAAAACATACTCAAAGAAAATAGAAATTTTTATTTTATTGGAATTTCAAGTAAGAGCTCTCAATACCCCACAGGTGGGGTAATGGGATAAACTGCATTTTTTAGAAATTTTTTTTTATTTATTTCTAATTAATTATAATTAAAGAAAAATAAAAAAAGGAGTAAAAAATGACCAAAATAGTATTTTATTATAAGAATAAGTTGGTTTTTTTAAATCATTTTCCTTAAGAGGCTCCAATTTAATTTAATTTATACGCTGATTACGAAAATTATAGTGACAATACCCGAAAATTTAATTTTTATTGTGAAAAACAAAAAAGTTGTAAAATTTATGGTTTTTTTCGTTTATTGGATAAATTGTGCAAAATTAAAAAAAAAACTTAGACAAAAGTTGTAGATATTATTGTCATACATTTTTTTTAATTTTGCATATTTTACCCAATAAACGAAAAAGCCAGAAATTCTGGGACTTTTTTTGTTTTCACCATAAAAATAAAATTTTCGAGTACTGTCACTATGATTTTCGTAATCAGTGCATCGAAATATATAAAAGTACGTAGGGTAAATGTACTGATTACGGCGCGATTCGAGTCAAAATACCTTTGAAATAGAAAATTCGACATTTCTATTGTATAAAGTCAATTGAAGACTTATTAAACTAAAAGCTTATGTTATTTAGATATTAAAAAAAATTTTAACTTTATAAAAATTGATTATTTAAACAAATATGAGAAATTAAAACTAATACCATAATTTTCTGTTACGGCGCGTTTGTATCAATTTCGGTGACCAAAATTACGTGTATTTTGAAGATACTTTGCCCGCCGTAATAAAAGTCAATGTAATTCTTAAAAATGTTTCAATTACGGCGAGGGAAAAAATTTGATCTCAAATAATTAAATTAATAATTGATTAAATGTGCATCTTTATAAGTAATTGTATCAAAAAAAGATAAAAATAATTTTTTTCAATCATTTTGCAAGTTATATTAAATATAATAGTAATAATAGTTATTTTTTATGAACGTCCGTAATTGACACACTTACCCTAGTACAAAAAAATCCGGAGATTTCGTTTTTAAAATATCAAAAATTCAAAAATAAAAAATCATTAAAATTCTGTAAATTCTGCTAAAAAAAATCATGGAAGTTAGTTTCAATTAGTACTAAAAGAAAAAAAAATTTCAAAAAAATCGGAGTTGTAAACGTAAATTTGTGTCTGATTTGGCGTGAAATACATAATTTATTTGAATTAACGACCTCAGTTTCTGAGTCTTAAAGATTTACTAAAAAATATTTTGAAAAATAACTTTAGGACATTTGACTTTTTAAAAAAATACCAACTTTTGTTACAAAACTATAATTTCACCGTGTTCAATTTGTAAGTTATCGTTTTGATTTTATAAATACAAATCGTTTCAATTTACGCTGATAATCGAAGCGTTGAAAATGTCCCATCACCATTGCGAATTCATTATTTTATGAGTGAGCCATTTTTCCGCAGATACTGAGCATTAAATTTTGTAGGCAGTTAAGCATTTAAAAGGCCGTTTCAAGTTAGTCAGTAGTGAAAATCCAACTAATCGGTTTAATAGAATTGTGAAAAAGTTAGCATAGTAGGAACAGGAAAAGTGTATAGATAATTAAACACAATTTGATAGATAAACTAACCTCACTTTTTTTTAAATTATTTCAAATATTTACTGCAGAAAAAAATTTTATGAACAAAAATAAATTTTCTTTGTTGAAATAATGCACATCCGCAGAGTGAATAAAAATATGAAATACCTCTATTTCATACATTAATTTGTATAAGCATCAAAAAACACGTGGCCATAGACATACTGTCAACTGTTCTCAAGATGTAAAGCTTTGACATTATTATGTTTACAAATTTTGCTGAAACCTAATTTTATTGACAGCAGACATACTTGGAAACATTTCTCTTGAAAACTTTTAACAAATAAATACAAATTCTATTTCAAAAATCCATTTACTTACTTCTCCTTTTGCCTTCATTTTGTGATCCCTTTCTAGCCAAGAAAACAAAGAGGTTGAACAAGGTTTAGTACATTCAGAGTATATTTGAACAGGGTTGGTAAGGTCTGTATGTATGTATTGAAATAGAACATCCGAAATGTTTCAGTGTGCTGGATCGTTTGCAAGGTTGCGCAGTTACGCGTAAAGGCTCTTGTATACCTCACCGATCCCGAGTATACTTGCATCGTGTACCATTGGAGTAAAAGAGACAAAAGATATTTCCGTCTCTTTTACTCCAATGGTACACGACAGAAGTATACTCGGGAGCGGTGTACGGAAGCTTCCATGCGCCACCACTAAGCACTCACTCGCTTTACGAGGCACGATTGAGGATGGAGTTACATGTTGATGTAAATGCGTGCCTCGTAGTGTGCTTCGTAGCGTGCTCCGTATCCGTATCTGATGGAAGCTTTGACGATGCTTATTTGCTTTGATTGCAAACCCAGTATGATTATTTTATTGTTATTACTGTGTTTTAATGAATGAAATGACATCAAGTGTAACAAAACAATTCAATAAAAATTAATTTATAAGCATAAATAGATTTTTATAGGTTTTTTAATATTTTCTTTGTAAATAATTTATATCAGCAGATATATGTATATAATATGACAGAATAAATATAAAATTTTCAGAAATAATTTTTTTATTTTGTTTTTAACAAAACGATCATACATTAACCTTAAACTAATAAAACGAAAGCAGATTTAAAATCCAATTGTTTAATAAAATCTATCAAGAATATGAATATTGTTTGATTAAGCATATCAGATAATTTTACATTTGATGTCATATCTTTTTTTAAAACACGGTAATAACAATAAAATAATTATACTGGGTTTGCAATCAAAACAAATAAGCATCATCAAAGCTTCCGTCAGATACGGATACGGAGCACACTACTACGGAAGCCTGTACGGCCCACGAGCGTCTCGGACGCAAGTGGCGGTGTTTCGTACCACAAGTGGCTTAAAGTCCGTCTAACTTGTGGCAAGTTCGTTAGTTCGTGCCACTTGTTGGACACCGTGCCACTTGTGGAAAGTGGATTTTTTGAAGGGTCATTCACAAATATGACAATTCCGTTGGATCCTGTTGCCGTCTATTTCGTCAGTGCTTTTCATTTCAAGTATAATTTCATCCGGGCAAGTCCGTTTAATGTTTTTGAATAAAAATGAATTTGTTATTTTTTAATTGAAAATATATGTAAAAGATTACATTTCAGTGTAAACAAATGATATTGACATCTTTATTAATCTTAAATATTCATAAAAATGTACTTTTAATTTTAAAAAAAAAATCCTCTTCATGTATTTTAAATTAAAAAATGACAACATAACCAAAAAATCTTATTTTTATTCTAAACTAAGAAAAATTAAAAAAACTAAGAAAAAACTTCCGCTTAATTCTTAGTGGAATCCGTAGTTTATTAATATGTATATTTACGTTTGGAAGGAGTATTTATGTGTGAACTATAAAAAGTTTGTTCGATGACATTTACTAATATGCTAATATTACTAATATCTTATAAAATTCATTTCTTCTTCTTCACATGAAATTGAAATGAAAATCACTGACGAAATAGATAGCAACAGGATCCAACGGAATTGTCATATTTGTGAATGACCCTTCAAAAAATCCACTTTCCACAAGTGGCACGGAGTCTGTCCAACAAGTGGCACGAACTAACGAACTTGCCACAAGTTAGACGGACTTCAAGCCACTTGTGGTACGAAACACCGCCACTTGCGTCCGAGACGCTCGTGGGCCGTACAGGCTTCCGTAAATAACACACAAGTTGGTTCGACGGCTCCGTGATGGAGCGGTCACACTTCGCCAGCAGGAGCAGTTGCCAATGGCAACCGTGTAAGAGTAAGAGAGATGGAAAATCTTCTATCTCTCTTACTCTTACACGGTTGCCATGGGCAACTGCTCCTGCAGCCGAGGTGTGACCGCTCCATGATTCGATAAATCTATTCATCTTTAAATTATAAGATGAAAGTTGTATTCAAATAATCTATATGTATAATAATTGCAATGAATTTTTTAATATTAATATAACGTTAATTAATATTAAAAATATTAAAGTAAATGAATAAATATAAATTTATATACAGGGTGTTCAAAAAGTTGCAAGTTTCCATACTTTTTGAACATCCTGTATAAGGTTATTCAAGTTGGGTGGGGGAAAGCCAAGATGGTTGCTTGCTGGTGCAACCATCTTGGCTTTCCCCCACCCAACTTGAATAACCTTATATATTTAAACATAACCTTATATAAAAATGAATCTATATATTATATTATTTTATATTATATAAAAACACAAGAATCCAACTCACTTTAAAATAACGATATTCTCATAATTTAAAATTAAAAAATTTATCCAAGGTAAGAACGTAAGAACGTATCTTATTCTTTATTTCTTTATTTCTTACGTATCAAGGCGCTTGTATACCTCACCGATCCCGAGTATACTTCTGTCGTGTACCATTGGAGTAAAAGAGACAAAAGATATTTCATCTCTTTTACTCCAATGGTACACGACGCAAGTATACTCGGGATCGGTGAGGTATACAAGCGCCTTCAACGTAAGAAATATTTCATCTTATAATGATTTTTTAATGAGCAATGTCGAACCAACTTGTGTGTTCTTTACGATAAAGGCGCTTGTATACCTCACCAATCCCGAGTATACTTCTGTCGTGTACCATTGGAGTAAAAGAAACAAAAGATATTTCCGTCTCTTTTACTCCAATGGTACACGACGCAAGTATACTCGGAATCGGTGAGGTATACAAGCGCCTTAAGAACATTGAAACATTCATGTTCTGTATGCTATATATGAAACGAGCATAAGTTAAGTTGGTTTCGCCTGCGTAGAAGCTTCCGTAGTCTTACGTACCCGATGTGGTTGTGTTTAGGCCTTTATGCTGCAAACTAATTTTTCCTTTCATTGCATTCTATGGTTTAGTGCCAAGCTTTGTCAATGATTCTCTCAAGAATCGTTTACGCGGGATACAATTAGGGAAGTCGGCATTTTTCCTGATTCTATTAAAAGTAGTTTGTTTATATTTTTACATTCAAACTTCAGGTCAAAAACTTATTATCGGCTTTAATAGATTGAAGTCTGAATATTTGTGAATTTGTGATTATTTTACACTGTGATGGGCTGTTCAATGCATGAATTAATGTGATACTGGTTTAAAAAAAAAATCAAAGCGAAGCCAAGTAAGTTACAAGTTACTTTTCATTTATTTTTCGACCCTTTCCTTGAATTGTGCGTTTTTAAAAACATTTTTAAATTTTAGTGTATTCAGTGAAAATTTGTTTTACCTTTACTTTTGTGTGATAAATTATTGTTAAATTTTGAAAGTTATCTTTGGTAACAGTATTTCATCTCTAATAGTAAATTATTTGTGTTACAAAAGTTGTTTCTTTTAAAGGATATTCTTGAGTCAATATTTCTTATGTGATCCAACTTCAGAAATGAAGTTTCTCGGATCGGTTTGAAATTTGCAAAGTTTAATACCATCGTTTTTAACTTTCATGAAAACTAGGAAGGTGATGGGTTTGAAGTTTTTTGTCAAGTTTTGAAACATTCATACAAAAGGATAAAACAAAATTCAAAAGAAATGAAATTTAATAATTCTTTTCAAAATCAAAAATATTGTACACTTTTTTTGACAAAAGACATGTTTTCCTTTTTTATCCCCATCAGTAACACTTAAAATGTATACTTTTAATATCTCATTAAAAAGCGCTGTCTACTTTGACCGTCATCTTCGCGCCAAATGAGAATTTAAATATTTCTGGCCCGAGTTAAAAAATAAAAAGTGACATTTGGTTCTGTTTTTTCGACGTTTTAAAAAAAACACCTCAGATACCTGGAATCTGGATTATGATGCCTTTTCTCCCTTTTTCAAATACTGTTAATTAAACAAATTTTTTCTTCTTTTAATACCTAAATGTTTTGAAATAAACTTCAATACTTTTTTAACAAATAAAATTTTTATTTGAAACACATAAAAATCATATTTATTAAACAAAAAGTTCCTATATTTTGAATTCATTATTTTTAATCCTTTTTGTAATTATAAATGAAGTTTTATGTTTGTAAGCAAATTTCAACGTAAGTTTCGAAACCAAAGTTACCTGTTATAAAACTGAGTATTAAAAAAGGGATACATGAACTGTACTTACAAAAATTTCTAATTTTCGTACAAATGAAGAATCGATGAAATAGAGAATCTGCTTGTGTCAAATTCTAGTAAGTAGGAATTAGTATTTTGTTAAATATAAATTTATTTACTTCAACTAAATTTGAAATTTTATTTCAACTAATTTCCGGTTAAAATAAAATTCCCTTAAATGTTAATTCTGTTAATTAAACTAGGAAATCTGTAATAAAAAATTTGATTAAATATAAACTGTTAAAATTTGAATTAAATTAGAGAATTTGGTTAGTAAAAATCCTGTTATGTTCAATGAGAATTCTGTTAAATAAAAATTAATTTAATACCAGGGATCTTCACGAAAGTCGAATTTTGATTTCGTTTCGATTTTTGTAACGAAACGAAAGTAAAATGTACTGTTAATTTGGTTTGGTAAACGAAATGAAAGTCGAATAAACTTTTGATTCGGTTTAGTGAACGAAATGAAATTAAAATATAATTTTCATTCGGTTTGCTAAATCAAAACGAAAATATACTATTGACTTTTTATTCCGACAGTATCCATCGCTTTGTAACTCTAAACTTGAGACTTATGACGTAATAAATTAAGACATATGACTTGATTCAGTTAGAGAACCGGAAGTAATCTGACAAACTTTCATTTCGTTTAAAAAACGGTATCAGAAGTACACAATATGTTCGTTTCGTTCACTAAACCGAATCGAAACTAAGTTAACTTTTGATTCAGTTTTCGGAATCAAAACTTAAATGAAATAGACTTTTGATTCAGGTATCAGAATCAGAACTGCATATAGGTGACTGCATTAAATGTAAAGTCATCTATAAATACCTAAATTCTGCTTTTTTAAAATTCCGTTAAATGTAAATTATACTATATCAAAATTCATTTAACTAAAGAATCCGTCTTAAAATTTCGGTTAAATAAAAATCCACTTTTAAATAATTGAGTTACACCGGATTTGTAATTGTGGTTTCTTGGTTTCATTGACTTCAGATTTATAATCAGCTACCTACCGCCTCGCCACGCGAGGGGACATAAAATCTTTGACATTTAATATCTCGAAAACAAAAAAAATCGGCATTCTGAAAATTTATATACAGATCGGAAAAAACCTCAGCTTTCGTTTGCAATTATTTATTAAAAAAAAATCGCATCGATTTTAGTGAATATAGCAAATTTATGTTTAATTGTAGAAAATCAAGGTCAAAATTCAAAAATTTTACAAAACAAAATTCACCATTGGAAAGAGCATGAAAAAACCTTCAAAAAACATATCTTTCAAAAAATTTTTTATTGCATTTATAGACAGAAAAAATTCAAATAGTAGGCGGTGTCAGGGAAAACTGATAAAATTGACCCCCAAAATGACCAAAATGACCCTGTATCTCCCCCAAAATTTCAAAAAAGTCAAAAAAATTTTTTTAAGATATTTTACTATCAGGTAGGACAACAATTTCTCCAAGTTTCACTTTTTTTAGAGAAATCAATTTTTTAACTCAGGACATTACACGTAAAATGCCTCAAATACGAACTTAAAATATACTTAAATATTATTAGAAGCGGTGCGCATTTTATCACGCTTGTCATTGATATATTTTAATAAATTATTTTTTGGATAATTTTCTTCTTCATATGATGTATTCCACACCAAATCAAACACCTATTTGCGATTGCACCTCCGATTTTTTTAAACTTTTTTTTCTTTTAGTAGGGGAGATGTATTCAGGTTGAGATAGGTAGATATTATTTTGTATATGTGTGATTCTCCGCGTAGCGCACGATTTGGTGTCTGAAACTTTAAAAATATTTTTTCATCGAAATGATAAATATCAATACATATTTTTGAAGATAAAGTGTCAAGAAATAAATATCCATGGTGGGTCGGAAAAATTTTTTATAATTTTTAAACAAATTAAAAAAAAATTCTTTGCTTTTTGAATTCTATAAAATAGTTGAAATTTGATTTAAAATGTTTATGGGAATTTTTGGGGTAATTCACAAAAATATATATAGCGCGAACGACAATTAAAAATTTTATTTCGGTAATTTATGGAAATTTATGTGGTAATTTATGGAAATTTATACGTTAATTTATAGAAATTTATTTTTATTTATTTTGTTTGTTTCATTGCAGTATTAAACTTGTACTAGTGACGGTGGAAATTCTGTGGCGGGTGGAGACGCTGGGGTCGGTGAAACTGGCGTTAATAATTTTTTTTTTTTTTGAGAAAATTATCATTTATTTTTAATCGGTTTCATATGTTGCACATACATAATAATATAATATAATAATATTATAAAAACTAAAATAATATAACTAAGGCGTTGTCCGCAGTGGCGAGACAGCCGGTGTGGCGAGACATTAGGATATTTCAGACAGCTGAACTGACTGTGCTGGCACTTCTGGTCTGAAAGTCAAGTTTTATTGTGCTTTAACTTTTCAATATGATACATACGTTTTTGATGTACGAAATATCGCTATACTGTTAATAACAGTTTCAAGATATTTTAAAAGTTTTATTTCCCATAGGTATAAGTGATAATATATAAAAATTTCCGGAATTTTCTGAAGGGTTAAATGTTTTGAGTCTTTAGTATTTAAGTTTCCTTCAAAATTTCCAGAGCACTATGAATTATTGTTCGATGCATAGGATTGTACATCGTCATTACCGAAAAATGCTGTCTCCGCATTGGCGAGACACTTGTTGTCGGCAGTGGCTTTTTTATATCTAATAATATTGTACATGTCCTAATGAATTTGATATAATTTTTGTACGTTTTGTCGACAATATTTTTCATAACTATAGTTTAAATTGAAAAAGATGAACAGGAAGAACAGCTTATATGTTTTTTATAACTGTGACATGGATTAGCGGCTCACAATGAGAAAAATATTTGCCTGTATTTTTATGATTGAATGAAACAATATTATGATTTAAAGGCATCAATTATTATACTCTTTCTCTTTGATTCCTTTGTTTTTGTGACGTTTGAACGATGAAGACTCTGATTTTAAGATAGTGTCTCGCCACTACGGACGATTTTTTATGTCGGTAGTCGCGAGACATTATCGTAAATCGGCAATAACTTTTTTTTTCAATATCTGTTCTGTAACTGTATAACTTAAATTTGCAGTATAGAGTCACACCTGTCCATGGATATATATACAGACTTGATGTTCTTGAAAATGTGAGTGCTATAACAAAAAAACAAAACGTGTCTCGCCACTACCGACTCTCCCTTACACTTTATTTAACCTTCATTATTTAATAATATTCTATTTTTTTAAATAATATTGAAGGGTCGGTGGACGCCAGTGGAGACGATTTTGTGATGCCCTGTACAAATTTGAATCTTAAAATGTGTAAAAAAAGGATAAATCAATTAGAAAATTGATTATTTTCTTCATGGATCAACTTAAGGAATATAACTTTTGCTCTTACTGAAGTAGAACTATATTAACATTTGACTTTTATTTAAATAATTCAATGTTTAATAATAAAACGCAGAATAACACACAAAAGTGCAGTCAAGTATAAATAGCAAAAAAAAAAAGAAAATAATTATTTTTTTGATCAAACGTTTTTTTTATTCAATTCCACTAAAATATACAATACTAAAATTTGAACAGTAATTGTATTTATTAGTGCACATTGCTAAAAATATTAACTTTTTTGTTCAAACATCTTGTGGGGACAGGTCAAATTTTGACGTTTTCAGCCTTGAAAACCACTTTTCACGAAAAATTATAATGTTAAATACAAAAGTAACTATTGGTTTTTGTTTGTAATCACAGAAATTACCTTTTCACATTGGAATCGATATATTATGTGGACATTATTTGTGATTTTTCTTTCACAACATGAAAAAAAGCAAGTTGTGCGCTACGCGGAGAATCACCCATCTAATAATATTCCAGTACCACTCTTTCGGTACACTGAAAAAAATTTGGGTGACATGCCGTCCCGGAGAGTAGTGTGGCTCCTGACCCATTCATTTGGATCGGCTGAGTTCTCGTTGTGGGATCGTACACT